TTGAAAAAGTCGCTTCATGATTTTTGAAAAACAGATATAAATTATGATTGGATTATGTCATTGCAACGAATTATCCTGCAAAGAATTGTCCGGTCATCGAATACACCACAACGATCTGCAGTTGAAGATGAACCACGACAAACAACAAATATGAAACCTGAATTTAGAATTGCACTATTGATTGTTGAAGTAGAGTCACTTACAAAAATCAAAATAAGTCACGTCATCAAAAATCATCTACCAGATGTTAAAGTTCTAAATATACAAGTAAATCGACCAAACGCATTTACCCTCAATTCAAATGATGTAAAATCATTGAATCGGCTATTGAACGAACTATCGTCGGTTATTGAAGTCAACGAAAACCAATGTTCTTCTGTTTATATTCTTCGATCTATTCAAAGAATAATGAAAATTAATAAAGAAGCATTTGTTTAGATGATCGATCTAGAAATAATAGATGAGGATATTAAGCGAACATTAGATGAACAAGGTTTCAAATATGAAAGAAGTACTCGATTGTTGAACAAAGAGAAAATACCAATCAAAGCAATCAAAATCACCTTCATTGATTCAACAAATAGGGATCTAGTTGTCAAAATTAGTTTATAAATTGATTCCACGCATTTCATTGCTGAACCAGCAAATCATAACAACAAACCGTCACAATGCTATAAATCTTTAAGATATGGTCATATAGCCAAATATTGCAAAGCAGATAATCAAATATGTTCCAGATGCGGAGATGAAAACCATAAATATGACGCCTGTCATAATAGTAGTTAAAAACTTATATGCTGTAATTGTAAAGGACAACATATAGCAACGTCTCCAGATTGTCCAAAATATAAAAAACATCAACAAAAAATACAGAAAACAATTGATCAATATTCATCATAAGGCAAATCGACGAATCTAATTCAACTAGGTCACGATTGGAATAATAATGAATATTTTCCTATTCTAAAAATCCCTGATAGAATCGAAGAAACACGAATTATTGAAATACTCACCGAAAAAATGATGTCAATTGTCGCACAAGCAACGCAAAGGATTTTCAAAATTCTCAATCAAAGATTTGAAATGTTGACGAATCGATTCAGCAAAAAATTCAATATTGAGATTGAAGAAATTATTACTGAAGGAGAATATAATAAACAAGAATAAAAAAATAATAAAAAGCAAGCGAACAGCCAACATCGAGAAATAAAACAATTAATCAAAGAAAATCAAGATGAAGATGTTGAATCTACTTCATCTTCAGTCAATGGAATCAAAATAAAATACAGCTCACCAAGTAATTCATTAGATAAGCCAACAAGTGCAACCAAAGATTCTAGAAATAAATACGATAGTGATATCCATGATTATATTAACCAAAAAATTGATTATAATTATGCACTGCAACGTTACTTCAATTAAAAAGTAGAAAGAAGAAATATTTGCACACTTTAACAAATTCAATATACTATCAATCAACGAGACCAATATCAAAGCATAACATCATTTTTCACTCCCAGGATACAAAATCTTTAGAAATGATAGACCAGATCGACAAAGAGGTGGCGTACTACTGGTAATACGGAACAATATTAAATGTCATGGAAAATTAAACAAGATAATTGAAAATAATGAAGGAATTACAATTCAAATAGAAACACCACTTGGAAAATTGCTCATAGTTTCTATTTATATCCCACCTAGCGTAAAAGTTCATCATGAACTCTGAGAACAGATATACAACACAAATAATAATTGTCTTATACTTGGAGATTTAAACGCTTCTTTTCAATCTATGGGATAAAGAAGAACAAATGCAAAAGGTCATCAACTACAACAAGTTCTCGATGAAGGTTTTCTTCTATGTATAGGCAATGATCTCACAACCTACACAAAAAACAACTATGAAGAAAAAACCGACTGGATTCTAGCAAATCAACCCACCATTTTATTCATTGACAATGTCGAAACACAAGCACCATTTGAACTTAAAGAAAACCACAAACTATTAACATCTAATTTGAACATGTCAGCTGATCAAAAACCATCTTCTCATCGATCATCTTTCAATTTCAAATCAGCTAATAGGCAGTTGTACCGAAATAAATTAAATGACCTTTTGAGTAAAATCGATAGGACAAAATCAATCACAACAGTTCAACAAATAGAATCATATGTAACAACACTCACCGAATGTATTGCTACTGCAACAAAATCAGCAATCTCACCAATAAATGAAACGTTGAAAAATTTCCAAATTTCCAAAGCAACAAAAAAAACTTATTGAAAATAAACATCGACCACATAGAAAATGGACAAGAACACAAAATGAGCACGACAAAAAAGAATGTTACAATAGCAGAAAACTTCTAGCAAATGCTCTCCGAAATGGTCGGATTGAAAAAATAAATCAGATTATGTCATTTATTAAGTGAAAACAAGATGCGCTTTGATAAAGTAGGAGCAACTGTCCGCAAATTTCATAACAAAAGAACGAAACAATCACATTCAAGCAATTTAACTTACCAAAATGTGACCGCCAATAACGATCACGACAAAGTCAATTTGTTTGCGACATACTTTGAAAATGAAATTTTTATTGAAAAACCTGACCATTTATCATTCCATGAGCAAGTTAGAAAACAGGTTGAAGGAATCAAAAGAATATTAAAAAGACCAGACAACAAAAACTTAACACCTCCAATCACCATCAAAGAAATTAAAACAATATTCAAACAGGTTTCCAAAAGCTCACCTGGTCCTGATTCCATTCACAATCGTTGTCTTAAAAATTACACAACACTACTAGTTCAATATCTTGAAAAGATATTCAACTCTATTATCGATATTGGTCATATTCCAAATATGTGGGAAAATGTCAACAGCATTCTCTTACTTAAATCGAAAAAAGATAAAAAGCAACCATCAAGCTATCGTCCAATCAACCTATTAAGTTGTGTAGGAAAAGTTCTGGAGAAAATTATCAAACAACGAATGATAAAAGAATTAAACGAAAGGAAAATTCTTCCAATGTATCAAGCTGGATTCCGAGAACACAAAAGTACAATGTACGATATCTTCCGTCTCGAAAGATTAGCACATGAACATCTTGATAAAGGACAACATGTAGCAGTAATTGATACTGTCTGATTTGACGGATTGATTTACAAGATATATGATCTTCGATTACCAAACTATTTAATATAATTATATTATATCATTTCTTGATAATCGAACTGCTTCAATAGAAATAAAAAATGCACTATCAAGACCGTTTCTGTTGAGAAGCGAAGCACCGCAAGGATCACCATTATCATCTCTCCTATATATAATATATACGAGTGATTCAATGAACAGCATTCATCGACATACTGAGCATACATTGTTTGCTGATGATACAACATTATGGACGTCATCTAATACCATCGTTAATCTTAAAATCCGGCTTCAGTCTTCTATAAATGAATTCCAAAATTGGTGCAGTTCGTGGAAATTGACAATCCAACCTAGCAAAATTGAACTACTGCATTTTAGTCCACATCCACGAAAAAAATACAAAGATAAATTAGAAATCGAACCTGAAGGTGTTATAATAAAACCAATATTATCACCAAGGTACCTTGGCATCATATTAGATCACAAACTTGACTGAAGAATTTACATGGAGCACATCAAAACCAAAGTAGCATCAAGAATTAGTGTCCTCCGATTTTTATCTAAATTGAATCTCAATGCTAATCTCAACACAATGTTAGCATTATACAAACCCTTAGTTTGATCGATTATTGCATACAGATCTCCTATTCTACTTATTTACCCACACCCAAAAAGATTTGGAAATGTCTACAAATAATACAGAGTTAGGCCTTAAAGCCAACACTAGGATTACCTGTATATACATCAACAGAATATATACATGAGATATAGACAATATTCCGGAAATAAAGACATGCGACAACATTACTTCAACAAGCAATTACAGGAGCTAGAATTCACAATGACAAAATATCTGAGGAAAACTTATTACAAATTCAGTTGCAGATTGAAATGAAGTGATCTTCAAACCTAACTATTTCTTCTTAGGGCATAAGACTGATGTCAAGAGTCCTAAGCCTCTTCATGGTCTTGAACCTCTTTCTCTGTCTTTTTTTTTGTTCCGTTGTTACTTCTTTCTTTTTTTCTCTCTCTTATTTAGGTTTATTTACTTATAAATAAATAAATCGTTGAAACCTCAAGCGCTTGATTCGCACTTACTGCGTGGAAAAAAACGATCGTTCTTTTTTCTTTCACTGTCGTCCACATTATATCTTTATTTATCGTCCACAATAAGCAGACACGCTATCAAAACAAGTGCCGTCACATGCACGTTCAACGTGTCACTGTTTTGACTTAAAGTTTTCTTTATAATAACTCTATCCAATCATATGTTGCAAATTTCAACGATATATTCTAATTTGGCAGTCCATGGTCGATGATTTCTGGCTTAGAAAACAATCGTTTTTTCTTTCGAAACTGGTATTTCCAGAAGAAAACATTGTAGTTGATTCTAGAATTACGATATCGACAAAAGCAGTAGATAATTAATTGATAAGACATTGCATACAATTTCATTGCCATACAATTATTCACTTACCTGTAATTACTAACTAATAGCTTCATCGTTTTTTTTGCACATTGTCGCTGTAACACATTTTCAGAATAAAAATACATTTAAAAAGTTATTAAACTGAAATATATGTTATTTTATAGATTCAGAAAAATAATTCTGAAGACTAATAAACTTTTTTATAACACTTATGAAAGGAACTAATAATAATTACTATTATCAATCAATGCTTCGAGATTAAATAGAAAAAGAAAGGTATGAAATGCTTAAATCATATATTAAAGAAGAGTTCAGAGATCCATAATCATTGCTGAAATGTCAGTGTTTTGAGAAAAAACGATAACGCATATTTTAGAAATTAACCATTTTAACTATAGATAATACCAGTAAACCACTAAGCTTTAGTATATTTGAAATTATGAATAATTATTTCCACCTCTTTACCATTAGTTGGTGGTTTACCTTGAAACATCCATAGGTTCATATGTAGAGGAGCACTAGTATAAGGCATCGATGATGCAAATCTAATTGGTGTTTGATATGAATAAAAAATATTTTTCTTTGGTGAGGTCATAAAACCATATTGGGCTAGGAAAGAAACTTTTTTATGACTCCAAGTAAACTGATGAGTTGTGTACGTTCCTTGTAGAGATATACGTGTGCCGGATGATACTGGTTGAGCAATACCCAATTTATGTGGATAGACTGTATAAAAAATATTTGATGCTTTTGGATCTCTTTGACCCCATTTAGCTACTTCAATATCAATTTCATTTGTACCATCAACACCTCCGTAAGTGAACATACCCAATACTACATTAGGGTCAAATTGATCAATTGCTCCTTCTACAAACCATCGGAAAGTGCCGAAACTAAATTTTACTTTGGTATATAACTCAGCACATGTCCATCCACGTGTCATAGGTGAATAACGAAGTTTCAAATGAAGTTTATTCTGTTTATCGACCCATACATTATTTGAGTTCCAATTGTTTGGACCTTTGATAAAAAAAAGAACAAAAAGAACAAAATGTTCTTATCTTAAATTGATTTAAGTCAATAGTTACCAGGTCCACTATTTTGATCGTTCCGCAGGAACCATTGATATCCTGCCCAATGAATTGACTTTTGAGTATTCATAACACAGACTATAATATCAGAGAAGAAAGTTTAATTATATATAACAAACGATTATATCACGAACAACAAACACATACCCAGAGCTAGTAAAAAGACTATCGTAGTTGTTGATATTGTCTGCATTCTGATGAGAATATATTATCTTTTAATGATCCTTTAAAAAAAATATATTCTATTGTCTAGTCAGACCAGACTCTTTGAAAAAAAACAACATGTTAAAATTTCGTTAAAACATCGTTTCTTTAACATTGTTGCGTTCAATGGCTAAAAAGCATATTATCGCGAAAAGATCAGCTAAAAAAACATGTTCTTAAATGTAGTTTACTGAACGAATATTATAATCTTCATCAATGGCTCGTGATTTTCTCCTTTGTTTTTAATCAATTCAACGCGTTTAAAAGAATTCATCTCTTGACATTAATATAAACACTGAATGTAAAATTGATGTATTCGATGGTCAAGTTTTTCTTAGAATCATTAAAGTTCTTCGTTTTTCGTGTCTACATGTATAAGTGACAAAAGTTGTATATATCTCTACAGAATATGCACTGTTCTCATTCACACCGTTATGATGAAAACGTGATAAAGAAGAAAAATAAAGCTTAACGATAATACACCAAAAAGAAGCTACACGTATGAAGCAATTCGTAAACAAAAAACATTTATTTTCACTAAACAGCAACGATTGAAGCGTAACTATCTCTTTGTATTCTCTAGTGCATCGCTTTTCTACGTATTAAGAACTGCATCTACAGATTGCGTATTATATGCTTTTCGGCAAATCATATGCATAGTAATTTTTTATTGATGAGCCAAAGACAGTTGTATAGCTTATTTAAAATGATATTTTCCACTCAGACAAACGAAGAAAAACATAAATTCATTATGGAGCGATTAAAATAAAAAAATTACACATTTGTGAATGTTTTTTGCCTGACCTCTATTGACAATGTATTTTAAGTTTTCATGAGTCATGATCTATTGAAAATCATATGGGTGCACTGAATATCCTGGTTGTGAATAATTTTGATTATTATCGCATCATTATCCTAAGAAAATGTGTCAAGTCGACAAAAAGTGTTTTAAATGATCCAGCCATTTATAAACGTGTTGAAATATATGTTTTGTTTTTTTCCTTAGGTCTTATTAGTTTAATTTTTTCATGTATTTTATTGTAGTTAACTATCTCGTTCTTTTCTATGATGCGATCATTCGTTACATTGAAGTGTCATTTTTCTCTTTCACTCATATTAATTTACTTTTCTTTAAAACTTATTTTGCATTTTTTCTTCTGTAATCTATTAAGAGCTGACGTAGTTGATTCAGATACATCTTGGTGTACTAATGTTGCCCTAAGTTTAGTTGATAAGTTGTCGAACACCGACATTTATTTTTATCTCATGAACTAAAAGTATGTCGAAAATAATTATTTTCATCAATTTTATTTTTCCGAGCCACATACTTTTGTTCTACCAGGTGAAAGAGAAGAAGGAACCAGTTATCATTTTATTTTCTTTACATAAACATGCGGAAAATTTGACGATGAGAAAAAGTTGTCTTATACGACTCACGTCTACAACCAGACAAAATGTGGTGTTGATGATATTGATCAATGTGTTGACAATTACACGATGCAAGGAATCAATCGATGATGATCAATGATTATCTTATACAATATGATTGATATTGCTGCGCCCATATGACTATGTCAAAATTCTACATGGAATATGAGAAGATTAAATACCTGGCGTACGTTCTTATCACAATTGAGTATGGATTTGACAGTCTCACAAAATCAACATCGTAGTCAAGAATCTTATCTCATACCAAAAGTGAAACTTACTTTTACTATCTCTCAATTGTAGTTTTGCATCGCAGGGTGCCACAAATCTTAGTGTGAACATCCATTTAAAATGAGCAAAAAGAGGATGTTATTTGTGCCCAGCATAACGTGGACGGAAAGTTCGACAAACGTGCCATAATTGTGGACAGAATGCTCGCTTGTTTCATTCTACCAGTATTACAATAATAACTTGCCAGACATGTAAAGAAAAGAATTAGGATTTACCAACGGTATTAAAATCACAACAACTTCTTATTTGTAAAAGAGAAACTACTGTTTGACAATTTTTTTCAATCGTAAAAACGAAAAAATTTCTTACTTTCTTATCTACAGACGATGTATATCCAATTGTATCAGTGTGTTTTCATCGTACTCGATTAAAATGATTGATCTAATGACTTTTCAGTTATAATTCAATGCACTCATAACAACAACTTCAGACAATCTCTTTTTCGACTCTGTATATCTTCGTGTTACGAACATGAAAACAAAATTCTTAGTGTTCATGAAAAAAGTATTTACAGGTTCATGATGTACGAATGAATAGCTTGAATGAAACGAAGATGTCAAGTTCTTGTAGTTTTCTCTCTATGGATTCAAGTGGATACTAGGACAGAGATGAAATTCCAAAGTTATGACAGACACGAAGGGTTAAGAGTGACGATCTACGGGATGTAACTGTTTCACACTGTGAAAATGACAAAAAAAGTTCGAGAAATTGATAAACTATTGGCAAATAACCTTCATCGGAATACAATTGAACGTTGACTACATCGGTATAAACAAACTTATTCAATTGATTTTAAATCAAAGTTAGAAAAATCAGGAAATGCTCATACAAAACGGTTTATAAGTCTGATGAAAAAAGACTTGATTTTAACGCTTGACGAAAAAGTTTACCAACAATGGCTAAAGATTTCAAAAGTAATAGTAGAATCATCAAGCGAATGCTCATAATTATGATTTACACAAAATATGTTATCAAAAGAATCTATGTTCAAAAGTTAAAAGAAGATCCAAAACCAACAAGACAAAAAATGTTGCCAATGGATTAAGAAGAACATCAACCGCTGTAAATTGAAGAGAATAATGTTTACTGATGAAAAAAATGATTATTTTAATCCAAAAAATGACGTTATCTAGGCAGATAATCGATTTTATGTCGATCATCAAAAGTGGAACCTCCAATAGGATGATCTAGCTCAAATACTAATCAAAAAGATTAAGAAAGGTGCACATAATAATTTTAAATCTTTCATTTCAAAAGAAAAGTGGCCACGAAATTCTCCCGAATAAAATACAATGGGTTATTCCATATGAAATAGTGTATCAAATCATGTGTAATATCATCAAATCAAAACGGTCAACGATTTGCATTGAGAAATTGAGGAATCAATACAGAAAATAATCAGTACTTGTCTTCAAAGATTGTATTCAGTGGAAAAGCATGATGACGAGCTGATTGTAGATAAACATGATTCTTTCTAGTAGTACTCTAATGTAGGTTTTCATACAAAATATTTTTCTTTTATTACTTTGTTTTCTTTTGAAATTAATTCATTTTTTTTTGAAATGGCACAAAACTTTTGTTACACTTGATATAAGTGCTAATAAATTCTCGATTCCTTTCCGCCTCCCAATAGAAGACCTTGAGTTTTCTATTATGTCTAAATGTACAAAGTTTTCACGGGCTCTTCTGTTGCATGCCATTTATTTGCATAACTTTTAATTAAAAGAATTTTCCAGAAAACCAAAATGATATGTTTAGGATTTGGGAAAATATTTGTAGGGTCTTAAAAGTCCAACAATGATGCTGACATAAGTTTTTTTCAAGATTTTTTCAGTTAAAAAGGATTTAATCTCAAATAAATATATGAATCGATTCAATAAGATTACGGAATATATTATTTTGAATTTCGACGTAAATCTACTTTCTAAAATATTAATTGCTATAAAATCTATTCACAGCGAGCCTACCAAGTATGCTGATTTTTCAGTTCTGGTCGGTCCAGTTTTAGTGACAATATAAGTCAACAAAAAAGTAACTGTTATAGTTCGATGGAATAATCTTTTAGTTGATCTACTTCATTACGAAAATGCGTGTATGTCATAAAAATGAGTTCCGGTATTTCTTTTTGCTGTGCTTGTTTTAAATGTTAATTGTAATTCAAGTTTCAATCCTACAAAATCTTTATAAAATGATAAAAGAAGTCGAATAAAAAATTCTCTTATTGGTGTCGAAATAAAAATTTGAATAGTCAATTATTCACGTTTTACAATTACTTCCTAAATGATCAAGACTTGTTAAACCAAGTTTTTTTCGTCAGAAAAATATAGTCATGTTGCTAACATTATGAGAATGAAGTTCTAGATAGTTTATTTTCTGTTTCCGATTTGTCTTTTCTTAGTTATTTGAGATTTTTAGACATACAGGGTATAACAAAATTATAGCCCCCCTTTTGTCGTTGAGATTTTTCAATGAAGACGAATAGTTAGATCAAATCGAAATAGTGATTTCGATAGCCCTTAAAGTTCTCTATCAAAAACAGTATAGATCAAAATCCCCAAAAAAACTTTCCTTAGAAAGTTTTACACAAAACCGAAGTGCTCCAAAATCAAGTGCCTCTGGCACTTGAGAAAAACATTTCAAAATATAGTCATCCGAAAGAGCAAAAAATTCTGAGCAAAATGAGCGGTCGCCCAGTTCTCCACGATGTTTTCTTATAAAGTTATAAGCATCAGAAAAGTGAAAAAAAAAGTGTTTTTAGGCTATTTTTAGCGGTTTTTTTATGAATTTTAAAGTTTTTTTCATTTTTCTGCTGCTTATACCTTTATAAGAAAACATCGTGGAGAACTGGGCGACCCCTCATTTTGCTCAGAATTTTTTGCTCTTTCGGATGACTATATTTTGAAATGTTTTTCTCAAGTGCCACTGGCACTTGATTTTGGAGCACTTCGGTTTTGTGTAAAACTTTCTAAGGAAAGTTTTTTTGGGGATATTGATCTATACTGTTTTCGGTAGAGAACTTCAAGGGCTATCGAAATCACTATTTAGATTTGATCTAACTATTCGTCTTCATTGAAAAATCTCAACAACAAACGGGGGCTATAATTTTGTTATATCCTATATATGTCTTAGTTATTTCAATTCAACGAAATACAAATTAATTATCAATTAATTGATGATATTAACAACAAACTATACATTTCGAGTTTGTTCTTCATTTTAAAAACATGAAAAATATTATTCAGAAAATATTGAATTTTATTTTTTGGTAAT